AGAATTTTTATATTACACTTTCATTGGTTATCTATTAAAAATTTTGAAAATCATTTTACATTTTTATCTAGTTAAATAACATCCATTTTTGTATATTATCCGTGTTGGCAACTCGACCATAGTTGAACAAAATTCTTAAGATTCTAGTTGGCGAAGCTTGTGCTTTATAAAATCCATATCACATTCTCCAATTAGGTACCATATATCTAAAGTGTGCCAAGAAAAATGCATTATAAATGATCATGTTACTTTTTGTAGTTAAGTAGTCTCTGATTCGGTACAAAGCAGCTATCATCGACGTTGTTTTATGAAAAAAATAGTTTGACTAGACTAATTCAAATTCTCATCTATAATCTATAATCATAGATATTTGATAACATTAGTAACATAGCTAATTATAAGGGCATTTCTTTGTTATCCATATTCGCAAAATTCTTCGAAAAGGTTTATTGTAATAAACTGATAAAATTTGCTGACAAATTCAATATGATCAACAGGCACCAATTTGGATTTCAGAAAAATCTATCTACAAAAGATGCAATAATGTCTAGGTGTGAATTTGTCTTAACATGCCTTGAAAAGAAAGATAAAACGTGATGTGTCTTTATAGATTAAAGCCGCGCTTTCGATACTGTCAACCACGCTCTCTTACTGGAAAAGCTCAATATAACTACGTAGTCAGAGGAACCGCTTTAAATTGAATAGAAAGTTATCTATCCGATAGGGAACAACGAGTTGTCATTAATAATGGTTGATGTAAATTATCTTCTAGCACCAAGTTTGCTTTAACTGGTGTTCCGCAAGGAAGCATACTAGGGTCTCTATTGTTCTTATTGTTCGTCAACGATGCGCCTATCAAACAGCATTTTGTTACATTATTTGCTGACGATACCACGGTGAGGGTTAAAACTAAAGATCCAACTCAGCTCATTACTGAGTTGTCAGTTGCATGATATCACATGGAGAGGTACTGTGTAAGAAATGGCCTTGTACTTAATGAACAGAAGACGCAACTGATGCAGTTTCGCCTGCGAGATACAGATTGTGATATTAACGGAATCAGAGTGAACGAGGTCCAGGTCACTAAATTCCTTGGTGTTATGATCGATTCAAGGCTTACTTGGAGGGATTATAATGACTGTTTAGTCAGCCAAATATCAAAGCATTGCTTTGTGTTATGGAGACTAAGGCAGTTTGTAAATACTGAAGTGCTTAGGATGTACTATTTTGCTCACGTACAGTCAGCCATGAATTACTGTATCGTTTGCTGGGGTAGCAGCTCTCATACATCAGATTTGATACTTGTGCAGAAGAGAGTGATTCGTACAATATCAGTTAGTAACAAGCTCACTTCTTGTCGAGAACTATTCAAAACTCTCTACATCATGACGATATATTCACTTTATATTCTCAACCGTGTTTGTCATGTTCGAAAGAAGAGTGGTTATAATCGTAGGAATACATACTGTCTGCGTACACTCAACATAGCCTTGCTTTATCAGCAAATGGTCCCCACATAATGACTATCAGATTGTTCATCAGGTTGCCAATTGTTATCAAAGCTGTCACCAATTTCAATGCTTTCCAACGCCGAGTTAAAAGTCTATTTATGGAAAACCCTTTTTACAGCATTGAAGAATACATCAGACTTGTGAATTGTATTATTGCTAACAATTAATTTTTAATCTGTTTTCAATCTGCTCGTCCTTCTATTTTTGTTTTATTTGTTATTTATTCACATCTTTTTAATTTGTTTGTTTATGTTGTTATTTTGAGTACATTATGTATGTATTATTTAATTTACTTATTGTTAACTCGATCACAACTTTTTAGATATTTATTTTTCATTCATTATTGACAATTTGCTGTTACTTTTCAAGTCAAATGGCAATAAACATATTTATTTTATTTTATTTATTTTGATGCTGGAAGTACGGTAACTGGTTAGCCGATATTTCTGAGATACTCAATTTCTCCGATTACGTATCAGACAAATAGCATTTGTCAAAGATTTTGTTGTTGTTGTTGTTGCAGAGAACAGTACGCCCTGAACTCTACCATATTTATTCAGCAGAACAAAACAAAAACAAGGTTTCTCTATAATATATGAGCGCCTAAGTTTAAAAACTTGTATGCGCAAAAACAGACCAAAAGAGTAATTAATTGATAAATATCGTGCAATATATATTTTTGTATAAAATCACTCAACTATACAAACAAAACGTGAAACACGATATACACAAAATGAAAGAAAATTTCATATTTTTGTTGTAAGTCATAGATTTAACTTAAGATCACAGATAAAAGGTGTCACAATAATATCAAAAAGAAAGAAAAGAAACAAATAGGCAGATCAATCTACCTCAAAGCAACTTAAAATATATGCATAAATTGTTCACGATTTTCCCAACAGAACATATTAAACGAAACATTAAATTTTTTATTATTTCCAATATTCCTGATATTAGCAGGAATCAAATTGTAAAATTTAGGTGCAAGATATGTCACAAAACGCAAATTTAAATCTCGCCTGGACTGCGGGACGTTCAGGTTATGAGTGGTGTTTGCTCGGGTCATATAATTGTGGGACACATAATTTGTATTTAATTTCTTACTTGCATGTACAAAACTACATACTGCAAGGATATATAAGATTTTAATATTGTTTATTTCTTGAGAATAAAGTTGCATAGTGGGATATAGTCTAGAGGTTTTTCTAGAATAATCCCTACAATATGGTTCTGCACCACTTTTAACTGCCCAAGATTTGAACCGTACATCCCACCACACACAATTATGCCATATACCAATAGTGGCACCACAAGAGCTTTGTAAATCATTAATAGTAGTTTAATGTTCAGTATGTTACGAAGAGTGTAGAATTTATGGATGAAAAATCTAATTTTATGCTCAAATACAGCACATGTCGGTCCCACTTCAAGTGCTTATCAACAACAACCCCCAAATATTTAATTTCATTTACTTCTTTCAAAGGCTCATCAATATTATCAAGTTTAATTTGATTAAATGCTGGTCTATTAGCCATGTTTATAGAGAAGGCAATGTAATGAGTTTTTTTTATATTCAGAGTTAATTTAAATGTGTCCAGAAGGTTTTTAATTTTTGCAAAATCAGTCTTCAATTTTTCACCCGTTGATTCCCATGTCTCTCCATGAAACACCACCACGGTGTCATCAGCATAGGCAATTACATCGCCATCAACTGCAAGACTGCAGAGGTAATTTACATATATATTAAAAAGAATCGGTCCAAGTACTGTACCCTGTGGAACTCCATGCTGAACCGTCTTAGGTTCACTTAGAACGTCCGCAATCCTGACACACTGAATCCTATGCATTAAATAATCTCTAAATACACTTAACACAGCACCCCTAACTCCATGTCCCTCCAGTGCTTGGAGGAGCTTAGGATGAGATACCGTGTCAAATGCCTTTGCTAAATCCAAAAACAAAGCGATGCACTTATCACCGTTATTTAAATAATACATTATTTTAGACGCTAATTCATAAACCGCATGTGATGTGCTTAAACCTTGCCTAAAGCCAAACTGATTGTCAGATAACAGCTTATTTGAGTCCAAGAATGCAACCAATCCAACCTTAAGTCATTTTTCAAATATCTTTGCTAAATTTGAGATTATACTTATTGGTGTATAATTACTTATATATTCTTTATCTCCTGCTTTGTGAATAGGTGATATAACCGATATTTGGTCAGATAGATCAGCCCCGCTCTCAGAATAGTCAATGTACACTCCGAGAAACTTTACTGTTCCTGCATTGTTATCATTCGCGTCAAAATTCCGTAGAGAAATAGTCAAACCAGTTCAAAATGTCCCCCCCCCCTGCAAGCTGATGGTTCATTATCTAGGTTTTCTAAGACACTGTGCTGAAAGAAGAGTTGTGTCAGTAGGGTGAAGTCGGCAACACATCAATGCACAATTCTTTTTTTTTTGTGAAAATTTACATGTTTATTTTTTCTATTCAAGAACTGATAAGGAGATATGTAAGCATCTGTCCCTTCACCTTGACACCTGATACTTTACTGTCTTGTTGATCTTTTGACATGATATAAGACTTGTCATCGTCCAGCAAAAAGTCACATCTGCGTGCTAGCAGATATAAGCATAAAATACATTCGATAGTGAGGATAAAAGGTAGTTGTGAAATAATATAATTGTAATACGCTACAGAAAAATGCATGAGATTTAAACAGTTAAATCGCTTACAACATATTATTTTCAAAAGCATTGCCTTAATCACATGCTTCATGATTACCTATTTCTGTCTTCAAGATATTATTTTGATGGGTAGACAAATCTATACAGACGTCTATGCACGTACGCATACCATATAACAATACCAAAAAATAATTTGAGTTTCACTAATCAGTGATGTTATAAAAGCAATTATTTTATTATTAGGTTTTTTGACTGGTAGGTTTTCATCGATAATATATTATAATTACAGGCTCAATTATTAATTTTACAACGATGATCGGGCATACTCGTTTCGCATTATCCTTCAATCACTTGATCAATTTCCGCGCTGGAAAATACCTGTACGTATTTTTTATTGACCTGCACTGGTGATGTTTTTGTTATATCAATTAAGTTATTCACATATTTAATTATTTGGCTATTTTATTGTTTAGCAATGACTAAATGACATAATTGCCCGAATGAGGAAGATTTTTGAGGGCTAGCAATGTGTTGCTTAAGGCCAAGTGTTTTCTCAATAAAATTGTTGTTAATTACAATGTTCTCAACATTGATAGTCTATACAATTAAATGAATTTAATTTTGTGTACCTAAAAGAATATTATTTTTTGTAAGTGCTACTGAATTGACAGTCTATAAGGTCCCTCAACAGAATCTCTATGATTATTCGCTTTTTGAGTAACGCTAGTGTGATAACGGCTACTCGATGTTTATTTACTATTCACCTTTGATCTCCTCTTATTGACTTTCATTATTTCAGGGCTATTCCTGTGTGGACTTCCTCAATGCAGGAATGAGGAATTCCGGAATCTACTATCTTCAGATCAGAGGTACTACCTACTGGTTCTTGAAGGTCTTCTGTGAGCAAGAAATTGCAGATGGAGGATGGACGGTAAGTCTTCTATCCTTTTTGTTGTTTGAAGTAAGAAGATACATAATATTGATTTAGCAATATGCCTGCTATTTTTGAAGAAACAAATCTAATTCTCATGGAGGGTTTTGTAAAATGTTGCAGACACATGTTGATATGAGCGTTTGTTCCTGAAGTGACTTATAATAGTAACTCAAGCACCATAAGATATTACGACATCATTTAGGCTCAGCATGTACTTTGAGCTTAAGGTTCGACCAGCAACGACTGTTGAAGATGAAATTTCAAGTACTCATAACACATAACGCTCACCAAAACCTAAGTAGGTGATACAATTTTTCATGATTTTTCATATATTGCGTTTAAAGATTGCTTTCGAATAAACAGAGAACGAAAATTTATCTGGCACAAAAACGGCACCTTTAACATTCACAGCTGTTCAATGCAGTATAGAAATTTGATTTATAACTTTATTCACAGAGCAGAAAGTCCATTAGTTCCAAAAGCTGTGATTGCTTAATCCTCTTGTATACAGCAATGATTTGTGTTATGAAATAATCGCTGCGCATCTACAGGGTTATCCAAATTAAGTGTCCACCATTAGTAACTTTGTTATTAGTGAAAATACAAAGTTGTTTGAATTAGCAAACTAGTAGCATTTTTAACGCTGGTAAAAATGAGAAATAAAAAAAAACAATTGAGAGTCATTATTTTGATTTTTTTCAGTAAAATAACAATTTTTTAAATGGAAACCCCTGTATATTATATTTTTTTCTGTTAAAGCATCAAATTTTAAACAAAAAAGTTCATAATGACTTTTCCGCTAAAGTCAAAAATAAAGTCAAAATAACGATAAATATTTTTAATTATTTGCAGTATTATAATATTAAGACGGCTATGAAAACAACATGGCGTTCGCGATTTGACAGCATTAAGATAAGCGACAAATTGTTAAACTGGACATACTCGCAACTAGAAGGCTTTGGAAAACAATGATAAAATCAAATAATGTCAAACATTAGTGTAAATACTTGTTTATAAGCTTTATTGTGTCATTAATTTAAAGAAAAATGTTCTCCCATGAAGAAAAGTGTGATATGTTAGAATGCTATTTAGTGTGCAGAAAATCCTCCTTGAGAGCAAGAGAATACTACAGTGAATTATATCCCGCTCGCATTCAACCGTATGAACGATATTTTCTGAGACTTTATCGAAAATTTAGGGGCAACGAAAATGTTTTTGCTAAAACAAGGGCAAAAAAAAAATTCATAATAAGCGAGGCCACGGAAATTGCAGTTATTGGATATTTTGAAGCTTATCGTGAGAATTCAATAGCAGATATTCTCAAGGACTCTAATTTCAGTTATGGTACTGTTCAAAGGATTTTAAAAAAATACAAATTTATTCCGTATAAGTACCGACCAGTTCAAACGCTTTTGGCAGGGGATCCAGAGAGAAGACTTGTTTTTTGCCATTGGTATCTTAGCTTCTGTCGCCAAAATGTAAATAACTTTCGTTACCTTTTATGGACAGATGAATCAAATTTTTCATATTCTGGAATGTTTAATAGAAAAAACCACCATTATTGGTCAATAGAAAATCTTTTGTTAGTACATCCAAGAGGCCCACAAGTCCGTTTCAGTTTCAACGTTTGGTGCGGTATAATTGGTTAAAAAATTGTTGGCCCGTTCTTTTATGAGGGAACCCTAACTGGTGAAAGATATGTGGAATTTATGTCAGAAATTCTGACTAATTTCTTAGACGAATTGGATCTTATAAGTAGACATCATCTGCATTTTCAGCAAGATGGCGCACCTGCCCACAACTCCAGAGGTACTTATCATTTTCTAAGTACTACTTTTAATGATCAGTGGATAGGAACAAATGGCCCAATACAGTGGCCTCCCAGATCACCAGATCTAAACCCACTTGATTACTTCTTGTGGGGTTACTTAAAGAACCAAATTTACAAGCGAAGGTACGATAACCTTGACGCGTTAAAGACTGCAGTTAGGGAAAAGATAACCCAGATAGATGGTAGGACCATACTTAAGACAGTTCGAGCAGTTGAAAAACGTGCCCAAAAATGTATTGAAGAACAAGGTGGTGTTTTCGAGCATCTTCTTTAAAAAAAATTGTTATTGTATTTTGTAAGATTATAAGTTGATGTTGAAAATAAAGTTTGTCGATACAATTTAATTGTTTCAGATTGGAGGCCATAACTTCAACAATTTGTAACCTAGGAGAAAAGTTATTGTAAGCTTTTTTGTTTAAAATTTGATGCTTTAACAGAAAAAAGTATAATATACAGGGGTTTCCATTTAAAAAAATGTTATTTTACTGAAAAAAATCAAAATAACGACTCTCAATTGTTTTTTTTTATTTCTCATTTTTACCTGCGTTAAAAATGCTACTAGTTTGCTAATTCAAACAACTTTGTATTTTCACTAATAACAAAGTTACTAATGGTGGACACTTAATTTGGATAACCCTGTATAGTGAACAGAGGTTAAAACCACTGATATTGTTACGTTGGTGCGAAAAATCTTTGAAGTAAAACCGCAAAGGTGCTTCATACAAGGGGTTCCGGAGAAAGGTACCAAATATTATAGGGCATATAAATATGGGTCTTGAAATGCCGCCTTACCGAGACACAGTGTGTTGGATTTATAACTTTCAAATCGAAAACAATATAGTTCGTGCTTGGGACTACACCGGTGATGTAGAAATTGAGGAATATTGACCCTTACAGAAGAAACGAAAGTTGTTTTCTACGCCACTAAGCATGTATTGCATTTTGAATAAGGTATTCAATTTTACATGAATCGCCCTTCTTGAGATTTTTTGTTTTTGGAGAAAAGTTGGTTTGAATTTTTTGAGGTAAGGCCGGTACGAAAAACTTCAACTCCTTTAACTTTGAAAGTACTCCGATGTTGATGAAGCTTGGCATTCAAAGTTGTATGTACTATTTAAGAGAGTAATTCTAACTCACCATAGCGTGAAAAATGTTCATGTTTTTGTCCTTGTTTAACTTCTTCAGCGACATATAAATTTGAAACACGCTGTATCTTGGAAATACGATTTTGGGACCTATACTTAATAGAACATTTTTGTTATTCTAAGAAACGCTGACATAAGTTCGTAAAAGATTATGTTCGGCCCAAGTTCGCCCCTTTGAGTACAAAAAGTTTGCTACGAACGTGTATAACAAAAAAATAAACGGATCAAGCTAGTCAAACAGACTCATACAATTAAAATTCGCATATTTACTATGTTTTCTGTATAATTTTTTAGCTCTTTGGCATGCAGCTTCCTGTGAAAATATGCTCCCCTCGCTCTCCTTTAAGTTTTGGAGGCAGTTACGCTTCACGCAAAAGTTATCTCTTGCCAAAGGACGCCAAACTAGCAAAGTAGTGGTATAAGCTTTTGGCAAAAGAACCGTTCAGCCATAAAAGCTCTCTATTGTTGTTGCCTGAACACCAAAATGCTGGCTTAATGTTGTGTGGAATGCAAATTTGCTTTCTGCAACATATTTGCTCTAAAATGAGGTGTTTAAAATATTTTTATAGCATAGTTTTACAACACCTTATAGGGCAAATTTTTAACTGTTGCATAAACGTTTATACAACTATTTTATACGGCATATTTGCAAGTTAGTCAAAATGGTTGTGTTGTGGCACCCATGCTAACGTTTATAAAACATACCCGAGCCTTGTTGCTTTGGTGTGCAATTTACTACATTAGCCAACAAATTGCTCCCAACGAAAGCACTTATACAACTGTTACATATACTAAATATGTTGGTAAACAACTTCACCATAACCTAACTTTCTGCTGTCATATTTTTGTTAAAATGCTATAACCAATGTTTTAAGACAAACAACGCATGCATATCGGTTCAAAAGGTTTTATCAACTGTTCAAACAGAAGATATAGATCTGGTACAAATTCTGGGTAAATCATTCGACTCTGTCGGAATTTCATTTCAGACATTTGTCAAATTGTTGTATAACAACTGCAGGCAACACCAAAATATTCTAATAACCGAAAGACAACATGGACGATGCCATGATTGCACACAACCACCCGCCATATTGGGCAAACATTTATTCCTCTATTTAATATTAAATAATTGTTTCAGTTCGAAATTACAGATATAAAGTGATAAACATTAGTGTAATTGTGTCTAAATATAGGATTTCTTGAAGATTTAACGCAGATAAGTTCAGTTTTCCATCTTAAAAATCTAGACATACTTTTGATCATTATCAAAATATGAATCAAATACGAAGCCCGTAGAAATTGGGTAACTAATTTGCACGATAATAAAATTTGCTGCGCAAGTAATTCAATAGCCCTATATCAAAGTGTAGAAGTTTATCATATACCTGTGTATGAAATTCGCAATGGCCGATATGTAAGTAAACAAGATGACTGTAATGTGTTAGTTATATATTCTTCACTTCGTCTGTACAATACATAGGAAATAGTTTGGTTGCAATAAAGTAGAATCACGTAAGAGAATAGTTGTATAGTTGTTTTATAACTGTTACCTGCAGCCCTTATACAACCTCTTAAATGACTGAAGAGGTGTGTATTAGGTGTGCCCATTCCGCTTGTATAGCTGTTCTAAGAGGGTTTTGCTAATGTTCTTACAGTATACAATGCTGTTTAAGGAATACTGTATAATCATTCTTGCAACTCTAATAGGAGTGATAATTGTTAGTTGGGCGGGCCTTCCCCTTCTCCTGAGACAAATTCCTGTGGCCTCATATGATCCAAATTATGCTTACATCAGACGTGGACGACGATCAGTGCTCAACCAGTCGAGCAGCGGAGGCCGACCGTTAGCGTATGATCGACTCGCGAGGGTTGGAAATAAATCTCCACCATTCAAGTTTTGATAAAGGATAAATGTACGACAGTGGCGTAGGAAGTATAATTGAAAAGCTAGGAGGGGTGGCAGCTGCATGCTTGAGCATTTGAGCGGCGCTACTGAGAGCAAATGGCTTTGTATCAAT